AGAGAGAGAGAGCGGGAGAGAGAGAGAGGGGGAGAGAGAGGGAGGGGGAGAGGGAGAGAAGAGATAGAGGAAGACAGATAGGGAGGAAAGGGAGAGGGGAACAGAGCTAGAGGAAGACAAAAAGGCAGAGAAGAGGGTAAGAGACAGGGAGGCAAAGATAGGAGAAAAGGGGGAAGGGAGGAGAGGAGGCAAGAGAGAGGAAGACAGAAAGGGAGAGGGTAAGAGAAAGAGGAAGGAAAAAGAGGGAGGAGAGGGGCAAGGGAAAAATAAGGGGCAAAAAAGAGATGGTGGAGAGAGAGAGAGAGTGCAAGAGAGAGATAGAGGAAGAAAAAGCAGGAGGCAGGGGGTCGGGTAAGAGAGGGAAAGAAAAAAGAGAGAGGAAGAAAAAGAGAGGAGGAATGTGAGTGGGTGAGCGAGAGAAGGGGGGGGAGGTGCAAGGGAAAAAAAGAGGGGTAAGAAAGAGAGGGTGGAAGGAGAGAGGGCAAGAGAGAGAGAGAGAGAGGGAGGAAGGGGAAAGGGTAAGGGAAAAAAGAGAAAGGTTGGAGTGAAAGAGAGTAAGAAAGAGAAAGATGGAGGAAGAAGGGAGGAGAGAGAGAGGAATAGCAGAGGGTAAGTTAGGAAGAAGGAAGTAGAGAGAGAAAAAACAAGACTTTAAAAATGAACACATAGCAAACATAATGTATATTTTCCTTTCTACCAATAAAAGGGACAGGTTCTCTTTAAGAATGATTTACATTTCCTCTGCCATATCCAGGGACAGTGACCCCTCGCTACAGCCAATTAAATTATGATTTAAAGGGGATTTGAGTCTAGCTGACCGTCTCTGCGCCATTTGTCACCCTAGTGCTCTGGGAACATCTTGTTTTTATGGCGTTTTAGGATCACAGTCTGTTCCTTTTGCTCAGCATGTGTTTTGTAGAGGAAAACAGTGAAACATTCTCCAGCCGTGTTAGGTATGATTTCAAGGTAAACATTTTCCAAGCATTGTATAACTTATGGATTTGATCCTTTACAGAAATACACAGGGCCGCCACATGAATCGACCGAGACCTGAACGCCAAGTACAAACAAAATCATGGAAACTATGAATTTACTTACGCTGACAGCAAAGGAACTGTAGGACGAGATAGCATTTTTTAACTTTACTTTTAGGGGCTTTGGGGAAATATTGGGGGTCTAAACAGACACCTGATATTTCCCTTTTAAAATAGAAAGAGATTGAGAACATCCCCTGTTATCAATGAACAGGAATCCTCTGAGTGTTCCTGGTCATTTATAACATGAGGACAGAGTATGTTTACTATAACTACAACTATGAATTAACAGGAGGTGATGTAGATCCCTCCCATTCATTCATAATTGAGGATACAGTAAACATGGCATGCCCTTAATTATCTACAAACACTCAGCGATCACTGATCGCTGAGTGTTTGCTCTTGCTCTCCTCTGTCCCACGCTGTCACAGGAGGCTGAGCGAGCGGAGCAGGGAGGAGAGCCCAGCCTCCGCTGTCTCTGCCGGACTGTGATAGGCGGCTGAGCAGTGAGGGAGGAGAGACACCGGCCTCTCACATCGCTCTCCTCCCGCAGTGCTCAGCTGTCCTGTATCGGCAGGAAAATTGCACTTTCGGCATTTAGCCAAAAGTGCCATTTTCGGCCGATATATTTCGGTGGACGATATACTCCTGAAAAACAACCCCACACCATAATCCTCCTCCACCAAACTTTACACTTGGCACAATGCAGTCAGACAAATATCGTTCTTCTGGCAACCGCCAAACCCGGACACATCCATCGGATTGCCAGACAGAGAAGCGTGATTGGTCACTCCAGAGAACACGTCTCCACTTCTCTAGAGTCCAGTGGCGGCGTGCTTTACACCATTGCATCCGACGCTTTGCATTGCACTTGGTGATGTAAGGCTCGGATGCAGCTGCTCGGCCATGGAAACCAATTCCATGAAGCTCTATACACACTGTTGTTGTGCTGATCTGAAGGCCACACGAAGTTTGGAGGTCTGTAGCTATTGACTCTGCAGACAGTTGGCGACTTCTTCACACTGTGCACTTCAGCATGCGCTGACCACGCTTTGTCATTTTACGTGGCCTACCACTTCGTGGCTGAGTTGCTGTTGTTCGCAGTTGCTTCCACTTTGTTATAATACCACTAACAGGTGACTGTGGAATATTTAGTAGCAAGGAAATTTCAGGGAACACCTGAATCCAATGATTTGGAGGGGTGTCCCAATACTTTTGGTAATATAGTATATAGGCAAAAAAAAGCTTTAAGGCCTCATTCCCACACAACACAAGCAAAATTGTATATTGCGTATATACGCGTCTATATACGAGCGTATATGCGTGCACTATATGCAATCCCAGAATGCATCACTCGTAATGGAATTTTTAATGTGCTGTACGCATGTACGTGCGTATATGCGCGTAAATACGCAGAGATACGCTTGCCCGGACGCATCTCTGTTCCATTCTGTTTTTGCGCATATATACGCTACGAAAATATACGGCTCTATACGCGGCTGTGTGTATGGAGCCATTTATTTGCATAGGTTGCATATGGTACAATACGCGCGCATACGTGCGGCAGTGTGAATGAGGCCTAATAACCCTTTAATCCCTTGACTCCCAGTGCATTTTTTTGGCAATGTCTCTGCACAGGTTACCTCTTAGAATTGGTAGGTTACCCCAACGTATTATACATCTTTTTGGGGACAAGTAGGGCTTTAATGTGATAGAAGATTTGGATACATATATTTTTTATTTCCTAGGCTATATTAGGAAGAAATAGTGAAACATTTGTAAAAAAAAATAATGCATTGTTCTGTATTTTTTTCCAACGTATTTTGCGCACCCGCTCCTCTGAAATTTACCCCACAATATAACTAACAAAGTCTGGTGATTCTAATAATATCACACAAGGACCATTCTTATGTATCATGGCGGAATGGTAAAGTTTAGTCAATGTCGCATTTTACTTTTGTAGAGCTTTCCTCTCTTTTCCAGGTTACATTGTGACACGCGCAGGAAAAACAATTTGTGTAAATTCTTAATGTAACAATAAAGTTCTCTGAATGGTTGTTTTTAGATAACACAGAACCTTCGTCCGATCTCCTAACAATCTTGTTTTACCAATCATTGCTGGCCTATAAATTCTTAAAGGCCGGCATAGCTGGAGGTGTGTCTATTCTGTATAATACAAGTAGAGCATCAGAGAAGCAACCAGAGTCCAGTAATACCCTTCCAGGTGACTACTTTACAACACACACAGGGACCATGGGGAACAACAGTAGCCCCCCTCCAGAAGGAAGGACAGTGTCAGCACCAATTCAGAGATGATTTGAGGATCTACAGCCGAGTGATGCACAAATTAGATACATTCATGTTAATAGTTAAGGTACTTGAATGTATTTGTAAGATTTAACTCGAGTTTAGTGTCACTTTAAGATGAGATCAAGTTAGGTTGGCAACAGCAAAATGAACCAGATGACGTTATTTTCAGAAATTCTAGATGACATTGCGTTCACCTGCGTGAGCTTTTCATACTCGTGCAGTAAATGCAAATGTCATCCAGATCATCCATCGCCATGGTTAGGACCCGGGGAATAATCTGAGAAGAGAATACTAAGATTTGTGATGTCACTTCCTATGTAAATAAAAAGCAGAGGCATGGGGTTTGCAATCTCTGCTACAGAGCAATCCTGTGTCAGTTTCTGAAGCCCAAAGGCTGATTGTTTCAGCTTCAGGGACTAAAGAAGAACTGTGGGCAGAATATAACTTAACCCTTGCAGTGGAGCTACCCCAGTACTGCAAGGGTTAAGTGCTCGTTTTGGTCTAGGGTGTAAATTAAAAAGGATTTACTCACCCAAAGCTCAGAGACCGGTTCCCGCAGCCTCACTCCCCCTCCACTCTGGTGGTGAAATGTCCCTTGACTTCCTCACATCCACGGCTAGCCCACTACAAGGGTAACATTTTATTCTGCTGAGCCTTGGTGATGTTTAAAATTGGCGCTTGTGACCCACGTAGTTAGTAGTAATCCTGCCATGGAGGTAACAGGCACTTCCTGTTATAGGGTGACAATCCTCTGTCATCCTATCCTTCAGAACGAGACTACTAAGTGGCGGTTTCAGCTTACATTACACAGGCATGGTCCACTGTTGTCATGATTAGGAAACCCACCCTAAGAACTGCCCTGCAGCCATCTCTAAAGTGCGCGTAATCAGGAAGTGGCTGCAAAGAGATTGCAGGACATCAGCAATTGTGACAATGGCAAACACAAAAGTGAAAACAAGTATTTTATTACAAAAAAAGACGACTGTTTGTGACATTCACTCGGGTTTAAATCTACTTTAAAAACTGTCACTGTGATTTTATTGAAATAAAAAAAGGAGGTTTAACAATACACGCTGGAATCATTTGTACCAATGAGGCTGTGAATGGCCAGGATTCTCTTCATCTTTAGATTTTACGCTTTTTCCAGTCTGGCTCGTTGTCTGGTTCTTCTTCTTCGGAGTCCACCTCCGCAAACACGGCCTTGGGCTGCGTCCTACAAGACACAGAAAGGATTGCAGAAAATGAGGTGTAAGGATGAGGATAATGACTTTATATAGGAGCAGGCTACAGCTTTGGCTGCATCGCTCTCTTCCAATGGGATTAGAAAACAATAGAGAGAAGCAGAATTCTTGCAGATGGAAAGCTAAATAGGAATGAGAAGAGACACAACAGTTCATCATGTGCTGTGCCAGATATGCAACGTTTCCGATGGTTTCATATCATCGCACTAAATGCCGCAGTAACAAATCAGGAACATTCTTTGTCGGTCTGGACTGCACTGAGCCACTACAAGCTGACTTCTGATAGGTCAAGATACGAGACAGCACAACTATAATTTCCACAATGGGCTTCATTAATGAAAGTGACTACCCCACAGTCACCAATCAAATCCCACACACAGGATAAACGCGAGCACTACCTACATCAGTCTCTGCAATAAATGAGTTGTGCAATAAAACTGCTTTATCCTGAACCTGTAATTACTTCTCTAGGGAGTCTCAGCTCTACCTCCTTATACACTTTGGGGGGAATTTATCAAAAATGGAGCAGAGAAAAAAACTGGAGCAGATGTGCACGGCAACCAATCTAGGACAGCTGATATTATTTGAAGGCCATCCCCCCTGCTCAGAGCGTTTTCCCATTGTGCCTCATTCACACAGACATGCAGTACCATACACCGTGCATGTTCCAGAAACCTGCACCTGGAAGTGACAGCTGGTACCTGCACCCCCTGTACAACTCAATGGATGCAGCTGCATCCCATATGAACTTGTGTATTTGCACAGGTATGGATGCATGCCCCTGGAGGCAGACAGTCTGAGGGCCCATTCACACCACATCCAGATTTTCTCCAGACCAGACCAGATTGTTTCTGGACCCAAAATGCATCCTAATGTAACCCTATGGTATTTCTGGCCTCTGTTTACACAAGCGCAGTCCGTTCCAGACCAGACCAGAAAAATACTGCATGTCTCATTTTGTCTGGTCTGGAATGCACTGGAACTGCGGGCAGGTTCACACAATTTTCCAGACCAGATATGGTCCAGAAAATGGTGTGAACCTGCCCTAAGTCAGGGGCGTGGATGGAAACCAGTATGTCTGTACAAGTTCAAGTATGGCTGGATCAGCGTGTACCAGCATGGAGCTGCATGTCCTCCAGGGACAGCTGGATGTGCACATTGTACGGCTCTGCATGTCCGTGTGTATGATGCCTTAAGGTAACCAGTCATATAAAGGTATTGTCAATGTTAGTCTGAGTTAAAGTTTCTGCTGGTGCACTTTAGAGCTTCTGCGGCTTTAACAGTCATGAGCATGTGAAAGAATGAAAATAATTAGACTTGTGTATATGTCTCCTCCTCCTCTTCATTATTTCAGAGCCAGGAATATCTCAATATATATAAATATGTGCGTGTGCAGTGCTGGTCCTCTGGCATCCAAGGTGAGGACCACAAACTGCACTATCATCATGCCAGAAGCACCTTTTTGGGCATTGAAGACCACCAACCCCAGAAAAGATGTGTATAAGATGACCAGCCAGATGACTAATACAAAGCCTGCCGTGATTGGCTCAGCGCGGTATACTGTATGTAGCCGAAGCTACCGTACATACAGTACTAACCCACATCCATACCCGGCGTATAAGACGACCCCCGATTTTCGGGGTATGTTTTTAAGTCTAGCCGGCAAATACGGTATATATATGATTTTATGCAGAGGGGCCACAAGAAGGTGGGGCTGTACAGTATAAGCTGCGGTTGGTCAGTGAATACATTCATGGAAGTGTATCTGTAGCTAATACTTTTTTTTTTACAATTTTGCATAGAGCAGCAAATGGTTAAAACCTGTCAGTTGTTTTAGGGAAATAATTACCCTTACTTCCTGTCCCAGACATGAAACAGGAAGAGAGAGGAAATCGCCCTCTGGAAGAGATACCTCATTGGAGTATTTCCAAGAAAAAATGTTAGATTTCCCATCACATTCTGTCCCTATGACAATGTTCAGCAGCACAAACAGAGTAAACTGACCCGAGAGGGACACAGAGGAAAAGTAAAATACATAAAGACAAATACAGAAATATAGTTCTAAATATTCTCTACTCAAAACTAAAAAGGTTTCGGCTACAGGTACACTTTAAAGTTTCTTTTGAAACACAATGCAAATACAAAAGGATGACAGGAACCTAAGTGACCCAGGATCTTCAATCCAACCAGCTAAAGTTGTGAATAAGTTTAGAAGCTATATGTAGTCACGGGTCAATTAAAAGAGAATAAATTGTGGTTTGTGTGTCACTGAGCACAGGGAAAAATCAGTCACAGTTATGACTTCAGAGGCTGGCATGCGAACCCCAGCAGAATGAATAGATATCACACAGGACTTACACAGTCATATATACAGGACAGGGAGATGGGGATCGGGTCTGTGACTCATCACAAATACTGTGTGACCCGGCAGATCAATGGACTCGTTTATACCAAACTGGAGAACCATAGCTGCTCTCCTTTTCAAAGCTGAGCTCCAAGCAAACTGCTAAATACATAGATGAAATGCATATATGAACGCCATTTTACCTGCCAAAGGAACTGTATTACTGTCCATTGAGTCCTGGGATTGACACAGACCCATCACACACCACAGCACTGTCTGATGAGGGAGGGGAACTGATTTTTCTTTGCTGCAGTAAAGTAACACTTACAGGTCTTGTCCCTCCCCCAGCCTGTGACTGGACAGTTAAGGAGAAGCAGCAGACTGATGAGCTCAACTCACTGTCTCTCTGTTCCCTCCTCTTATCAGCATGTTCCTTGTTAGCTAATGAGCACTGCAGCACAACTGTTTGGGTCCTTGTGCTGCTTTGCCCTCGTCCAGTCTGAGCCCTGGTGTATAGGGATTGCAAGAGACTAATACCAAGTCAAATTTAGGCATTAAAAATACACTTAATGGTGTATTAATGGTTACAATGGTGTACTAATTTGCCTCTTTTATGTTTGCATGGAGTTCAGCTTTAAATTTACCGTGTATATTTAGCAAGTGCTCATTGGTAGTAAACATAGTAACGTTTAAGGGTTGTTGATGATGTTAGTGTCTGTTTATAGGCTTGCTGTGCTATATTGTTATTGCAATGCCATCGGCCGCACGGGATCGCAAGGCACATTATGCCTGCGGTCCGGTCAAAATGCTGCAAGCACTATTTTGATCGCACCGGACCACAGGCATAATGTGCCTTGCGACCCCGTGCGGCCGATGGCATTGCGGCCGGAGGGCGTGGCTACGGTGCCATTCACTTCAATGGCCCGCCACGCCCCCTACTGCCCCACAAAAAAGTGAGCCAGCCTCAATGCGACGCAGTGCGCTCTGGCTAGAATCGGGCCAGGACGCACTGTATCTGGTGTGAACGAGCCCTTACAGCTGGTTTTCTTTAGAAAGCAGCCACAACCTGAGTAGAAAACGATGTCCTCTACCAGCATGTTGCCTAAAAGAATCCTTGCTCTTTGTATAGAAGCCGTGGTCCTTCTGCAAAGGTCCAACACTCCCTCTGACAGCTTTGCAATCAGAAAATATCATGCTGCCTGCTGATTGGTAGGCACTAGCTCTGACTCAGCAAGGGGCTGTGTCAGACCTCTGCAGAGAGATTACTGTTTCCGCACAGAGAGCAAGGGTCCTTCTCTGTAGTATTCAGCAAGGGAAAGGTTTTCTGATCAGGTTTTGTTGCTTTCTATAGTTAAAGCAGTATTAAACACATGCAGGGTTATTCACTAAAAGAGTGAAGAGTTTGGAGAAGGCAGGAGAAGTGAACAATCTAGGTCTACATAGCTGAACTGGAAAGTGAGCTGAATTGGAGAATTTTTCCAGGTCAGCTATGTTCTCCTAGATTAGTCACTTCTCCTGCCTTCTCCTAACTCTGCACCCTTTTCTCATTGACCCTGCCAAACTTTTTTCAATTATGAATCCGGATCAAACAAATATACATTACTTAGCAAAGTATTTTGTTACATTTTTGCCAAGTAACTTACAGCCCATGTTTCCAACAGTTCTAACTCTCTGTTTCGCTTCCCTGAACTTCCTGTTCAGTACATGAGGGGATAGTAAAGTCTTCAGCAGCCCTTCATTTAATAGCTTGGAGAAGGGAGAAGGAGGGAAGCAGAGAACAGGGGAATGGCCTGCCTTGCTGTGCCTATGTGTTTGTGGAGACTCACAGCTAACTAGCACACACAAGGGTGGCTCCATAGGACCCTGCAAGGGAAAGGAGCCCCCCTAAAACAGGATATCAAGACCAGTGCTCAGAGGACCAGCTGATTCTGCAGGAAACTAAAACTTTTTAAGGAGCAGCATCCATTGTAACATATTTAATCAGCTTTTGAAATAGCTTAAAAACCTTTTGACTTTAATATCACTTTAACTGTAAGAATGCCTTTTCTGTTGACGCATCATTATATTAAACGGATTTATACTGAAGGTTCAGTTGGACTTTAATTATAAAGACTAGATAGATATATTAGATAGATAGATAGGATAGGGAGAGAGAGAGAGAGAGATAGATAGGGATAGATAGATAGATAGATAGATAGATAGATAGATAGAGCAGATGACCGCACATATCTGTGCTGCACCACATAACATTATAGCAGCAAGGACACAAAGGTAATTTATTCTGAGTGGCTCCTCTGAACTTCATACTCTGAATATTAAGTTACACCCATGACACCTGCAATATTACTGCCATGAAAGATTTAATAGACACTGATCCCGGGAGGGCTGCCGTCCCACACGTGGGCCGATTGCATTACAGGCTCTTGTTAAGAGCCATAGCCAGAGGGAAAAGGGACTCGGCAGGATAGGAGCCCGCAATGCTATTAGCTTACACAGGAGGAGATACATATATTTATGTGTGTGCATGTCAGCCGGGCAGAACAATAGCTAAAAGCATGTGAACTTGACAGCTATTGTCAGACATGTTAAATGTGGCTAAATAAATGCACATCAATTCTACATGAACAGTCGGGTTAACCCTTGTTTGCCGACAAGCTTCACCAGTCTCTGCAGAATACGTGTGAGAGAACATGTGGAGTCTCTTTGTTAGCAACAAAAGATGAAACCGGGAATGTATTTATTTTTGGAAAAGTAAATAAATTTAGCTAAAGTGCATCTGTTAGTTGAACGGGATGAATAGGGAAGGGCACGTCACTGCGGTGGTAGGGAGCACAGAAGTGCACCTTGGTACAGTGGTGGCGAGCACATAGGTGCAGTAGTGAGCGAAGCGAGGGCATGCAGGAGAGGAAGTGAGAAAAGGGGGGAAGAGATGGGGCTCAGGAGCAGTGGTGAGAGTGTGGGTTGGTGTGCAAGTGTGGTGCAGGGGGTGGATGGGGGTCAGCTGCGGTGGTTAGAGATCAGGGAGTGGGGTGGAGGGGTTTCAGATTCCTCACCATTGCAGGCTGTAGATCTCTCAGAGATTTTTAAAAATTGCGTAAAACCTCCAGGAAACCTGGGAGAGGAACCTCAAGACTAGGTGATTCCTGAGGGTACTGGGTGAACGGAGCAACTATGCTCTATGGTCAGGCAGTTAGTCCTCCAGCCTTTAGGGGCGCTGTGCACATAATGTCCAGATCAAACAAACATACATTGACCAGCAAAGGTATTTCTTTACATTTTTGCCCAAGTACTTACACTCATCATGTTTTAATAAATGTCATTCTAGCATCATAAAGATTGCTTTTTTTAAAATCTCACACGCTATGAAATCTTTTGAGAATCCTCCCCTTCAGTAAAGACCGTGTGACCAGCTGCTGTGGGATCCTGGCACTGCAGTTTCTCCAAGACAGATACATATTTTAGCATGGATGAGGTAGTGGGGCTGGGGGTGTCACTTATTTTTAGGTCCACTTTGAAAAAGCGAATGGGTGGCAGTCCACCTTGCAAATAATCATTGACTTACCGCAATAGCAAATGGACCTTCTCTCACTGACTGATGCGAGAAAGATATTTCGGAAAAAGATTTATCTTCTGCAGAAAACCAATAACTTGTTAACATTGTCTAAAATGAATGTTGCCAATTCAGTGCTGCAATAGTGAGGAAAGGCAGAATGGCATACAGAATATACTTACGTAGAATATGCTGGTGCAACCCAGTATGGGTTCTGTTCTGCGTCCTTGGCATGACGAAGGATGGCTTCCCTCGCGTTACTGTCATCGGTCTTGTCCAGGGCAATGTTTTTCACAATAAAGGAGGACAGGGTGCCTCCATGAGTCCCCACACGGCCACCACGACCTGAAACATCACAGCAACAAGTCATTAAAGATCAACTATGAAAATGACACAAGCATGGAAATGGTAAATCTATCACAAAGATTACTGACACCGAAGGGCTCCATAAAAATGAATAAGGCATAAACCCTCATATTATTATTCAGCAGTAGTGGAACACTATACCATATGTTACACAAGCTTTACACCGAAACACAGTATTAGGGACGTTTAGTATATTTTGGCCCAATCCACTATATCCTGTATGGTTTCCCACCTCATTACTCCTCACGTTGTATGCATGGAGTCCATGGCCATCTTGTCTTGTAATGATGAAAGCTAACCAGATTTAACAAGCTGTATGAAAGTTGGATAAGCTGCTCTATATTGCTATTGAAACCAGCTACTCTGCAATTAGTTGCCCAATGGATCATAAAGAGATCTGTTTAGCCCCCCAATCCCTAGACTAAAATTAGGAATAAACAAATTATTATTTGTATATTTGCAAACCATGTGACTACCATGAGTCCCAGAGCTGTTTGAATATATAGGGAATGATGCAAGTTTCAAATACCATTTGGATAAAATGAATGTATAGTTTGGTAACAGCCATGCAATTGCCATAAACGCAATTATATTTTGTATTTCTAGAACTGCCATCACATGGAGATTAGAAAGGTGTTGGGGGGGTCCTTAATAGTTTTGCTACGGCACTCTACATAGTTACGACCCTTGTCCACGGGATCAATGACTTTGTAAGAGTGTAGATCAAATGTTCACTTTCTAAAATCTTTGCTCACATGGACAATACCAGAAAACCCCAGCTAAGTGATGCTTGCTGGTCAGAGTTTTAGTGGTGAATTTTTTTGGCATATGGTACTATATGTACAGAGTTTTGCATGTTTCCTTTTTTTTTTTTTTTGTATAAACGCAAGTTCTAACTCCCAAGTTCTCTAGCTGCAGTGTCTTTTATAGCACTGGCATATGCCATGTTGTAGGGCTGTGGACCTCAGCCAGTGCCATAACATGAACATGTATCTCTCAACCATTTGTTTATGATGCCGATGACATTCAGCAAATACCTAGATACACTATATTACAAAAAGTATTGAGTCTTAGTCCGTAGGGTTCAATATTGAGTTGTCCTACCCTTTGCGCTATAACAGCTTAAACTCTTCTTGGAAGGCTGTCCACAAGGTTTAGGAGTGTGTCTATGGGAATGTTTGACCATTCTTCCAGAAGCGCATTTGTGAGGTCAGGTACTGATGTTGGACGAGAAGGCCGGGCTCGCAGTCTCCGCTGTAATTCATCCCAAAGGTGTTCTATCGGGTTGAGATCAGGACTCTGTGCATCCCAGTCAAGTTCCTCCACCCCAAACTCGCTCATCCATGTCTTTATGGACCTTGTTTTGTGCACTGGTGTGCAGTCATGTTGGAACAGGAAGGGGCCACCCCCAAACTGTTCCCACAAAGTTGGGAGCATGAAATTGTCCAAAATGTCTTGGTATGCTGATGCCTTAAGAGATCTCTTCACTGGAACTAAGGGGCCAAGGCCAACTCCTGAAAAACAACCCCACACCATAACCCACCTCCACCAAACTTTACACTTGGTACAATGCAGTCAGGCAAGTACCATTCTCCTGGCAACTGCCAAACCCAGACATGTCCATCAGATTGCCAGACAGAGAAGCGTGATTCGTCACTCCAGAGAACACGTCTCCACTTCTCTAGAGTCCAGTGGTGGCGTGCTTTACACGACTCCATCCGACGCTTTGTATTGTACTCGGTGATGTAAAGCTTTGATGCAGCAGCTCGGCCATGGAAACCTATTCCATGAAGCTCTCTACGCACTGTTGTTGTGCCAATCTGAAGGCCACACGAAGTTTGGAGGTCTGTAGCTATTGACTCTGCAGACAGTTGGCGACGTCTGCGCACTGTGCGTTTCAACATGCGCTGACCCCACTCTGTCATTTTACGTGGCCTACCACTTTGTGGCTGAGTTGCTGTTGTTCCCAGTTGCTTCCACTTTGTTATAATACAACTAGCAGTTGACCGTGGAATATTTAGTAGCAAGGAAATGTCACGGAACACCTGAATCCAATGATTTGGAGGGGTGTCCCAATACTTTTGGTAATATAGTGTATATAGATATGAATGATCACTATGAACTATCCCATTGGGTAATAACGTGCATGTGCTTGGCAAGCTCTGTGTTATTTCAACGGGAAATCAAAGTTTATCTCTACAACTCTGTGGCCCAACAGCCAAACAAAAGTTTTTGTTAGGCCTGGCGTAGCTGCCTTGTATGTAGTGCCATACACCTGTAAAGCAATGCTGAAGAATATGAGAAGGGGCTATTAATACTATTAGCTTTGCCTTGGAGCCGTGCCATGAAGAGGATGAGTGCGAGTGTCAGACTCCGGGGGCTCTACAACTTTGCTGTGACTCACAGCAGTGAACATGGCTATTCATAGCCCAGTAATTGCAGACATCTCTATTAAGGCATTCTTTTGAACACTCGCTTCCTCTGTGACACATTGGCACTTGGCATCAAAGAGTCTAGCAGATCTAGGATTACGTATCTGTTTTGGTAGGACAAGCACGTTCTCCCTACTCGTGCCTGGCCACTGGAACTGAATTGCATAATTCATGTCGCTGTAACCACAAATGTCAAGAAGTTCTAAAATGACCCAAACTCTGGAAAGGCCCATCAGTCAGGTCCCGGGAATAGCGGTTATCTGATCATTGTGGTCAGTATTATTATCTGTCTACATAATAACATGCCTGACTAATACATATGTGCATTATATGGCAAATATCTTAAAATGGTCACTGAGACGGATGCACTACGAGAGTGTAAACCTTTGACATTCTACTTGAAGGGCTTGCGATGCTGGGGCCCCTGGGTTTAATCCGCGCCACGAACAATATCTGCAAAAGGACTGAAAGTTTCCCTTATGTTTCAGTTGGTGAGGTTCCTCTCGAGTATCAAAAAAAAAAAATACAGGCAAGTTCAATGGGTGCAGCTCAAATTTGGTTGTAGTATGTGTATGGCTGGGGCAGAAAAATACATGTTAAGGTCCTTCTATGGTAGTTGAGGAGGATGGAGCGGTAGGTATAAATGTATAAATTAAGAAACCTTGTATCCTAAGTACCCTAAACCCACAGAGGATCTAGAGGAAGGCCAAAAAAAACCCCTCCACACTTCCTCTAAGGGCCCATTTTCACCATGTACGAGGTTCAACGCAATGGCAAGCTGAAACCAATTGTTTCCAATAGATCCAGTCCACATCAACACACGACATTGGTGTCCGTTGGATGAAAATGGAAGGTCTTGTATATAAATGCAGAGCGACAATGCATTTAAAAAAAAAAACATTTTAACATGTCAACTCAAGTGCATTTGGCATGTTGAACTCTCCTTTTAAAAATGCAAGTGACCAGGATGTCAAGCGGTCCAACTACAATAAAAGTGATGGAGAAATCTAAAACTTTACAGCTGATGCAGGAACAAGAGGTGAGGAGTAATCCTCCAATGCGACACTTGTTTCAGTGACAATTGTCTAAGATCAGAATTCCCTAATGCTAGAGAGATATACTCTAATTTCCTGTTGTGTCCACAGGATGGGAAGTTAAGCGAAATCTCACAAATGTGACATAGGACGTGATATAGGTCACAACTCCCAAAAAAACAACCTGATAATGGTTCAATTCTCTATTCAAAATTAGAAAAAAAATGTTGGCTTTCAATATACATCACAGCTGAACCATGGCCAATTATTATTAAAATCGTGTGGTCTTGTGGCAGCCTTCTCTCCAGCGTTGGAAGGTGGATGGGTAACCTGACATCACCGCACACAATACAGGACCAGTGGTTCTTGTTGGTTCTGATTGTATGTGGCGACATCGGCAAGAGGGGTGGCAGCGTGGCGACCAGCAAGAAGACAAGCTTTATAGAACTGGTCGGTGCTAATTAAATGTCAGGGTAATACCCTGACTTAACTGGTTTGCAGCATTCTGGCTTGGCTGCCATTCCACCCACCTGTGATTCCTCTTTTGTCTGAGCAGACTTTGTAAGGTTGCTCACTAGTCCAGGCTCCCTCTCATGGTCAAAAAGGAAGCATCATCTGAGAGAGCTAGATGGGAGTTTCCTGTCTCTGAGTGATGATTTCCCCCCACTCACTATATATAAACCACTCAGTCCAGTCTGACCTTGCGTGGTTTTACCTGCTAGTGTATTCCTGCTGCTTTGAGTATTCTGATTCTGTGTATGACCCAATCCTGGCTGACGTTCTCCTCTGGTTCCTGCTCCTGGCTTGTTCCCGACAACGCTGATCTCCATGTTAATGATCTGGCTTGTATGACTACCCACTCTGGCTCCTGACCTTGGCTTGTTCCTGTTTATTATTTTTGCTTGCTCCTGTGGACACTTTTCTTAATAAAGTATTTTTAAATAGCACCTTATGCTTGTCTGGTTTTCAATGTGCTCTGACACTATCTGTGTGTGGGAGGATGGAATTAGGTGAGTCTTATACTCGGTTACATTTTCCCCCTGCCAAAATGAGCAATATATTCTTCTGAGGAAGGGGGGGGGGGTACATTTATTATAATTTTTAGGTGCTACAGCACTGCTGAACCCTTCAAAACATACTGACATTGGGGGTGTGCGGTAAGTAGGTAAACCAGCCATCCACATGACTGCACTTGCTTACTAAGAATTGAGTAGTGTCATGGTGGCATGACTAATCCTACGCAAACACCTACCTCCGCCAGCTAGACTTAGCAGAGGAACTTCCATGGGTTCTCATGGTGCCCTGGAGAGGACAATTTACCAACAGCTGTTACCTGGCACCTCCTGGTGCCTGGTATCCAGGGCAACATATTTTAATAGCTTCCATTAGATTACTGGTACACTTTAAGCAATACCACAGGCTTCCGCACAGCAGGACTCCACACAGGAGCTGAGCAGAGCTGGCCGCTTCTGTTTATTCTGACCTTCGCCCATGTGTGATATATGTTGAGGAC